GTAAGATATACAAACCTTTGCAACTTTCGGAACCCTAGTCTTGGTTACACTCTGCTCCGGTGTTGCCATAATCCTTATTATACTTGAAATCAAGCTAAAAAATCCACAAAATATATGCCTTTTACTTCAGACGCGTCTCAAACCTACAACTCGTCCGACATATTGAAAACGTTTTAGTACCCAGTCCTCTGAAGGCCAAAAAGGCTTGGAGGTTTTCCAAGATGGCGGCAAATGTGGTCTGGTGTTCCATTCGTTGTTTTTGCCCTCCCAGTGCCGGCAACGCAAGGCTAAAATTCTGTAGAATTGCGAGTTCCTTCTTTAGACAACAGCATAGAAAACCCATGGAAGACGACAACGCAGCTCGGAAATTAGATCTGTACAGGACGTATTATTATTTATTAGATTTGCACACCCTTAGACAGATCATTTCAATTTTCGCAGTAATTTTATGTAAACAAAGTCCTTCCGTGTGAAAATGTAACTAAACACAAATCATTTCATCAAGGTCTTATTTTCAACAAGGAATATTGTCAAGTAGCATCCAGTCGCCAAGAAGGAACGATAGACCGAAGAGAGAAGAGTTGTTTAATGCCATTCACACTGGGTTGGAATATCGCCACCTAAATAATTAAAGTTTGCGACTGATAGATAAATTTCATAATGGTCGGTACGGATTGGAAAATAGTATAAGATAATTCACTTTCCGAGCTACTTAATGACTTGCGCTGCAGTAAACATCTCATTGCGGAAATATTGCTCATCTTATGAAATAGGAACCTGTCAGTGTGTATTTGGCTCAATGATATCTAGAAAAGAACGCTTGTAAACAGGAAGAACGGGAAGTACCGTTTACTACAATCAAGAACAGATCGGCGATAGCAAGTCGAGATATTTTCTGATTATGTGGAAAATTCCTTTGACTTTGTTAGACAAGAGAATATTCTAGTGTGTAAGGCAAGTTTATTCGATCACGCTATATCTAAGATAGAAATTAATTGAGACTTTTAATGCACGATTTTTATTAACTGAAACTTCACCCTTGCCGAATTGAATCACAATGCACCACTGGGTCAAAGTTATTTTTAGGGGGGTGGGGGAGGAGGGGTTTATAATCAAGAGGGGGCCCATTAGACCGTTGTAGGCCAGGACATCGTGCTTACAGTAGTGTAAAGATATTGACTCTAGACTGATCCCATGAAATATAGCACTATAGGTCTTCAATCTCAGACTAAAACAGTCCAGGACATTACAAATGTACACGCTTTGATGTACCAGCCGCCTCTCTTGACTAACGGTTACTAATAACTTAGTAACCATTTTGGCGAACTTTTTTTTAGCAAAAGCTGTTCTTCGGATGTCCTCAAGTCCTCAACCCTCTTCTCGCCGTGTGCATGTTTACAATAGTTTGAAAGTTGTTGGATTTTAAAAGATCTTCCATCGTAAATACTATCACAGCGTTGCCTCTTGGTCGACAACATCTCTCTCCGTTACTATGATTCTGCTATTAAAATCCACCAGCGGAAACCAGAGCCGATGGAAACACTCTTCATCCCATCTAGTTTCTATCTATAAATTCAAATCCAAAAGAGAGAACAAGAAACCTGTGAAAAAAAAAAGAATCAATGAATCAATGTTTATCTAGAACCGGTAGCAACCGACATGGAGAACGAAAGTAGCCACTAAAAGATAAACTTGCACGTATCCATCAAAAGAATGAAAATGATCCTTCAGGTTTTTTCTCGCCTTATAGACTTCATAGTTAAGTCCCAATAGCGATTTGCTTAAAGTTTCGCCGAATTTTATTTTCTGAAATTTCACCATCATACTAACTTCTTGTCTGCAAACCGGAAGTGAAACGGGAACAACTAAAAACCGTAAAAACCACTTTCGAAAAAGTCAAGATAACGTGGTTTGTATAATAATTGTATAATCGGATGTTTCTCTCGAGTTGGCCCTGCTTGTTAAACTATTTTCGATCTCTCAAAAGTCAACTTCATAACGAGGCTTTGCCGAATACAGACAAAGGGAATAACTTAACATTATTCGTATTGAGTTTCTCACTCTCGCTATCATGAAAAGAATGTAATATATCCCTCCCTTGTTTACAATTGAGGCAGTGTCGCAGATGAGTGAGTTTGTCCTCTGCAACTCACATATCATCAGTCACAAAAAGTGTTGGGATGTAAATTTGCAAAATCGAACCGGCTCAAGGTAAACCCCGGAAAAATAATTAAACAACTCAATCGTTTCTGGGATTTTCCGAGGTTAAAATATCTTTAAAACCGACGTTTCGACCAGTTTTACTGGTCTTCCTCAGGTTGTTTAAACCAGTAAAACTGGGTTTCGACCATTTACTGGTCTTCCTCAGGTTGTTTAAACCAGTAAAACTGGGTTTCGACCAGTTTCGACCAGTTTAACTGGTTTAAACAACCTGAGGAAGACCAGTAAAACGTCGGTTTTAAAAATATTTTAACCTCGGAAAATCCCAGAAACGATTCAAAAGAATTTTAGTTTTTACAAAAATGAGAGGTGAAAGTATCAGGAATACGATTGATTGTTTTTGTAAGTACACATTTGCATATATTGTCTAAACGGGTGTAACCAGGTTCCCTTTTCCAAAAGATCGATGGATATTTAATTCAAATATTTTTGCCACGCCTCTTGTAAAGACAAAAGATTTGGAAATTCATTCATTGTTAAGAGTGCGAGGGAAGCATTTAAGTGATTTTAACAGTAGTCATCGTCCTTGTAATTTTATTATAGTAGTAGTTATAGATCATTTCTTATATCTTACTTGAAAAGAGACGCAATTCAGTTTTTTAACTGCAATGTTTTTCTTAATAAATACAGTCTGCAGTCTACTAGTCACTCTTAGCGGTTTAAAAAGGGTGAAACATGATTTTGTATGGTAATGCTTTTTGAGTGAGGGATAAGCCATCTTAACCGCTACTATTCCACCTAGAAAATGATACAATTCCTGTGTGTCAATTGGATATAAATCATTTCTTGTCTGGTACTACTAGCATTATCTGTGTAGGGCCGGTAGATCATACTGTTGAGCCTTTACTCGCCGGAGAAATTAAACTAGTGTAAAAAGTAGAGTTTCTAAAGCCAACGTTTTGAGGGTTAGCCCTTCCTCATTCGCTCTTGTGATACCCCCATCGATGCAGCGCCATAGATTCTTTAAAACCTTACCCTCGTCTTTCACGAAGTAGTTTGATGCTGTGGTAAGTGGTTCTATTTGCCGGAAAATCATTTTCACGCGGTACTGTTTCTCACGATGTAAAACACAGTTGCAACTTTTGTAAAGTAAAAACTTAGTGTTGATGACGACCCACGAAGTAGCACTTCATGTTAAAGACGAAGAGTGACAAAGAGAGAACAGAGTGGTGACAGTGGAAATAATGAAGACTGTACATATTTAAAAGCCATTTATAGTTACAAGGACATTTTGTTGTGTCGTTTATCCATGCGGCACTGATCGCTTTTAACTGCAGACAGAGTTGCTTGCGAAAACCATAAGTGCACTTTTATAAATTAAATCAAAAGATTGCGCCATACGATCGCATTATTTTGTTACTCCTACCACTTATTTATTATTATTGGCCAGAATCCATTCTTTCCCAACAGCCAATCAGATTCTGGACAATATTCCCGAGGGTGTAGTCGGATGGTGAGTTTTACCTTTGAGCAATCTGGGACTCCCCTCACTTCACGGGGACTTATTATATTCGTCACCAGGTGCCCCGAAGCTCAGTGCCAGTTTGAATTGGTCAAATTCTGATGGCAACGGTTTCACGTTTTCGGGCCGCCATTCTAGTGGGTTAACGTAAAAGTTTTACGGAGCTTGCTAGCTTCGCATTTCAAGCTGGGGCTGCTTTAGTGAATTCCCGGTTTAGAGTTATTCTTGTTCTACGAGCCCGGCGTGTTTATTTGGCGACTGGATTGGATTTTCGCGAAAAAAAATATGCAGGATTGAGCGTCGATCGGTCCCCGACGCTGCCGTCAGTCTCCTGCCTTGTCTCTCTACTATGAAGGAAAGGTGAAGAAGAGTATTTTTCTCAAAACTTCGTGTACATATTAACGACAACAACAAATCGCCACATGGTAAGTTTCATTGATTTTTATTTCCATTTTCAAGCAAATTTCCAGACCTAAACTTCGCCCCATATGTTCTCTCTATTTAACCATGTTTGTGAAGGTGACACAAACAGTGAGCCTGGGTTACCTGTGCAGGTTCCGGTTAAGTTTGGAGCAGTCCAAATTAGATTTTAAAAGACTGAAGCGCTTTTCTTTGAAGAAAATCGACCATTTCAGTTCAAAGATACCGAACCCGGAAAGCACGAGTGTGTTCGGGTTTCATATTGCTTCTGGCACGCGTTTCGAAGGGTTATTAGTAAAATGAGTAACGGCGTAACGAGAAACCGCGTAACGAGATTTTTTTAATTGTTATTTTTTTTTTTTTGGAATTTTTTTTTATTTTATTATTTTTTTAAATTTTATTATCTTAAATGCGGGGTTTTTCCCGTCCTTTGGCCAAAGTTACAGCATTCCGGAGACACTAGAAAGTTCTTTTTAATAGATATGCAAGCTCTGATGAGTTCTTTAAAAGAGAATTTCCATCAAGGTTCAATTTGAAGGTAAGTTTTATTGCATGTTATAGTAGCCAACTCAACATGAGGCTGCGGGGAATATGCTTGTGTCAATTTCCTTAGAATTAGAAAACCTCAGTGTACACTATCTAAATTTAATCATAGTTAAATTATTTAAATTAATGTTAGTTTTTTTATCGTATATATATTTTTTCTTTTTAGATTTCGGGTTGCGCCTCGCATGGGATTTTTTTCCATTCGCGCAATCCCATTTGGTCCTTTTTTTTTATTTTATTTATTTTATTTCTGTATAACTTATGAGACCAATAAAGTTGATAAAGTTAATAAACCTCCCTGCAGACATTCTTATTTGTCTCGTCACGCAATCGCCGCGGGTGACGAGCCTCAAAAGACCTTACAGATGTGTGCGGTAGGAGGCTAAGGTTATGGTTCTTCAGCGAACAGTTTAGAACTTCTGTTACTGTAACGGAACTGACTTAAATGCATATCGACTGGTCTCCTAACCTCCTACGCGGCTCTTACACGGACATTCTTACGTCCGCCTTACAATATCGTTCCTCCGCTTCACGACCCTAAGAATAGCCTGCAACTACA